TCATGGGCATTAGGCCAATTTACTCAGTGCAAATTTGCAATTGATGTTCAGAGGGAACTTGGGAGGATTGAGACTAATAACTATAATTTATTCATATAATTTTAGCTAGTTTTTAATGCTTTTTAGGGGTATTTTGTGCATATTAGAAGCCTTTAAAATCATTTGAGCCACTTCTATAAATTTTAGAACTTTTAGGGCAAAAGTTCATATTATGAAAGTTTAGTGGCAAAACTAAAATTTTTGAAAAATAATTTTTGAAAAATAAAAAATTTCATCATTTGATGATTTTTAGTTCTTTGTTAATCACATGAGTTTAATTTGAGTTAATTCAACTTAAATTATAAGTTATTTACTAAAATATCCTTTAGTACACACTTTTTGTTTTTTCATTGTACTTTCTCTCCATAAACTTTGAAAATGTACTAGATTTAGATTTTGTAATCAAGAACTCCTAGGAAACTTATAACAACTAATTTTATCTTCTAATATTCCATTTTATCCCTTTCATTCACTTCATGACATTTTCATAATTCATATATAAGTTGGATAAATTTATAAGATACATGAAACTAATTGTGTATAACTTGTTATTTAATGGGATCAATATGTGTTTTAAGCTGTGGGAAGCTAATGGATGAATGTGGCAGCCTCTTGCACAAAATTGGAACATTAGATAAGCTATTTTGATGATCAAAAGGTCACAAATGGTAGGTGCAAATGCAAGAAATCCAAGGATAGCTACGACAATTCTAATTCCCTATTTCAATTCCCTTTTTCCATATTTTTATGATACATTTTTCCATTATTTCTATCATCATACTTTCGAAATTCTTCATCCATTTTTAGATTATTAGTTGCCCTCCATTTTCATTTATTACCATGTAAATAATTTATTGTCAAAATTCGTAGCCATACATGAAATACCATGTGAAAATATCCTTAGGTCCACACAAGTCTTACATCACTTTAGGCACTTGAAGGGCATGAATCCTAGCCCTTGGATTGATCATTTGGAGCCTCAGACATCCATTTTGCTTCATATTTTGTTCAAAACAATTCAGCCACCATCATTCATGTTTTTCGTTCATCTTCTTCCATCATTCATCTTTTCTATACTCTCTCAAGAAGACTCGTGAACTTTAGACCCTTCTAGTTCAGCATGCAAATACACCATTTTATTACCCTAACATTCCACAACAAAAACCCCCCCCCCAATTAAAATTCACAATCCCTTCCATCTTCATCTTGACTCATCCTTCAAGCATTTATCCATGGTGGAATCTTTATGGTCTTCAAGGAAAAGCTATGGAGCTCCAAATGAGGAGTGTCTAGGCTTGTATTCTCTTTCTATGATGCATGGATGAACCCTCTTTGGGCTTGGATTTTGGGAGTCTCTCTTATCTCTTACCTCTTATTTAATTCCTTGAATTTTGATGACTATGACATTGCAATAACAATGGTTGTGGAGTTGAACTTTATGATACTTGGTTAAGTATTATATGAGGTTATTATTGTTGTTAATTTGCCAATTGAGCTGTTGCAATTTCAAATTTTGTGCTGTCCAAATTTAATTTTATTCAATCCTTATTGCATTTAATTTCTAGTCACCTCTTGTGAATTTGATCATGGTTGCGCATTTAAGCACACTTAAGTTTGGCTAATTATTTTTCTTAATCAATTGAGGTTTCATTTGGCTAAGGCAAGGGCTAAAATTGGTAATTAACATCATAATCAATTGGTTATTTTTAAGCACAATTAGCTCTAAGGATTAATTTAGGGTCTTAGTTAATCTAAAGAATCTAAGAGTGCTAATTTTTAGTTGATATTAGGATGCCTTTAAAATCAATTAGGGTTAAGAGAAAATTAATTAGCCAGAACAAGGATTAGAGAGGGAGTTCCTGTGCTTGGAAAGACCATCATATTGCATTTTAATCTCACAAACCAACCATTTCCAAATCTATCCAATTTTCTAAAATACCAAAAAAATTAGTTTATATTTGATATTTGTTGTTTTAATTTCTAATTATCAAATCCAATTAAGTTGTTACTGTTTTGGATAGATTTAAATAACTAAGGTTTTAATTTTCAATCAACTTTGTAAGAGATTCAACCTAGGTTACTCCCTATATATATTAAGGTGATTTTTAGTTTAATTTAGTTGCATACGCAATTATTGCACACCAAATTTTAACAGTTCTTTTTTTTAAAGCTAGTCAGGTTGATCGGTTGCATTTGAATCAAGCTAACGTTAGTAACAACTAGAACCTCTATTTTGCTGTTTGTTGCTGATGGTTATGGAATTGGTGAAATAACTGTATGTTTGAGGAGGCATTTATGATGCCTGGTAGCCCTATTTCTATCATCTGTAGATATGTAAGGAAGGTGGTTAGTTTAACGGAGTATTATGGTTCTGACAGATTGAGTAAACATGTTTTTCTGTGTGAGATTGGGAAATGCTGGAGTGTGGCGGGTGGGAGTTAGATTTTGATGGGTCTATGAAAGAGTCAAGTTTAGCAAGTTGTGGTGTTGTTTTGAGAAATGAGAAATTAATTAAATGTGATATTTGTTACATCAACATGAGTTTCTGGGCTTGCATGATATTTGGTTAAAGCATATCTTTAAAGGGGGAAATCTTGTGTACATAGATTAGCTAACATGAGTCAAGTGGGTCAAACGGATTGGGATTGATATGGATTCCTTTTCGTTTTTTTGGTTTTGGATACAAGGCCAAGAATAAAAATCCATATAAAAAGACAACTGATTAAATTTATGAAACGAATTCTAATGCCAAGGTCTCAAAAGTTTAAAACATAACCTTGACAATGAGATGATTATACATATAATAAAAAAAAACTAAAATGAATTTCATGTATTTTCACATATTCAAATTGTGCATAGTGAATGTCACAAAAGAAAATTTACATGGTGAAACTCTCTGCATTTTTAACATTGAATTAATATATAATTTGAACCCTAAATTATAGATCTAGGGGCAATTTAAATGCTAAACTTTTAAAATGTATACTCTAAACTTTAAATAATAAAAGTTAAGGTAATTTCACTCCACCATTAAATTTTAACAAATGTCCATTAGTTTTTTAAAAATTGAAGTTTAATATGCGATTTTTACCAAATTTTACTCTCCTTCTCTCTCTAACCCTCATTTGGTGAAAATCGCATGTTAGACTCCAATTTATTTGATGTTTATTTAAATTTAATGGTGGAGGTGAAATTGTCCTCATTGTTTAAAATTTAAAATGTACCTTTTAAAATTTTAAAATTTAAATTACTCATAAATTTATAGTTCATGGTTCAAATTACATATTAATCCTTTAATATTATATTAATCCTTTAATATTTTATTCCAATTTTATTTTTATTATATAGTTTCTTTCTCTATTAAAAATCATAAATTTAATTTATTTTCTGTTAATTGTAAAATATAGTTATTTTATCTTGGTTATATATATATATATATATGATTATTATGTAATATATAAATATAATATACTTTGATGATTGATCAAACGATCAATAATGACAATTTATATTTTATTAAAAAACTATTACAGTATATTTTAAATTACAATAATATATTTTTTATAAAATTATTTAAGTCTTTCAACATGATATGACTTTTAATTCTCATTCATATGTTATTATTGGTAAAAGAACACATGGTTGATATTCATGAGTTCTTCTCCCCTTAATGATTGTACAATGGACATTGATTTATTCTAAAGGTGAATTAACAGGAGATTCATTTCTTCAAAGTAAAAGAAAAAAAAAAATTAGTGTATTTTTTATGCATTACATGAACATTAAAAAAAAAAGTTGCTTTTGTTGACAGTTTATGAATAATTCACGAAGAATTATCAAAATATATTGGTAAAAACATTTATTTGAAAATATCTAAATGTTTCCACGCCGCATGACTTATACTTCCTTATTCATTTGTTTTTGTCTGTGCAAAAGAACACATGTTTGATGATCATGACTTCTGCTCATTCTAATAATTGTACATTGGAGAATCGGACATTAATTTATTACAAGTATAATTTAATTGAAGATTCCTTTCTTCAAGACAATTTAAAATAAAAGCAAAATAAATTTAGTATGAATCTCAAGCAACATTAACTATTAAGTTTGAGGAATATTCCTTCTTTTTTGTCCGGCCAATTGAGGAATATTCCTTTAGAACAAATTATAGGGGAAAATTTTGATTTAAATCCTTACCAAATCTTGAATATATTTAATCCAAAGGTCCCAAAGTATAAATAGTTTTTTAAAAAATTTAACTTCTTAAAAGATAAAATACTTTGACAAAACTAATGCTTCTTTAATGTTATTTTTTAATATTATCTTTTTCATATATTCTTTATAATTAACATTCTTTCACACAGAAATTATTTAATGAAGGACATTTTTAAAGTTTATATATTTTGTTTTGAAAAAGTAAAGTTATAAAATTTATTAAATTTAATAATTTTTATTGATATATATAATTTTATTTAAAAATATTTTATAAATTAGTGCATAAGAGTATCATAAATAATGTGGGAGTCAAAGTTTTTGCAATCTTAACTTAACCCTCTTTAATTGCAATGAGTTATTGATATGTTCACATATGTCTTGGAATATAAACATTTTACCTAATAAAAATTGGAATTCATCATGTTGTGGACAAAATTAAAAAGTGACGCATTTTTATAAAAGGTATTAGCTGTCTCTCATTAAGAACTGCAAAATTAATTAATTTTTGCCTTGTAATTAAGAGTTAGCACAGAATAGAGTAAATACCAAAATTCTTATTCATATTTTTTTTTATATTATAGTACATAGGTATATTGACTAAATTATTAAAGAAGTAGAATGACAAATTAGTGGGGCAAATAAAATGTAAACAAAGAGATTATTACACATAAAATAATGATTTTTCCTCCTTTATCCAACGCAAATAAAATATAAAAATAATGAATTGACCGCAATAGCAACTGCGCGTGCATCATCGGAGATCAAAGCTCCTCACGAGATTCTGGTCCAAGCCTTGGCCCCCTTCTTCATCCGCACTGAACGTCCAACACTACCCTCAAATTCCATATCCAACTTGCTCTCTTCTGACTCGCTTCTTCTTCTTCCGAGTCACTCAGTCACTCTGCTCCACTCGTTCCGAGATCATCCTTCTTCACTCCCTTTTTCTTCTTCGTCAATCAATGTAATCCCATCATTCACTTTCTTTCTTCGTCCATGCAAAACCCTCCCGGTCGCCGTCGATTTTGAGGGAAATTGGAAGGTTGTTGTTTCCCCTTTTGACTGCGCATTTTTCATGAATCGGATGGCTCCGTTTCATTGGGTCTTCTTCGTTGCTACTCTCTGGTGCCTTCTTTGTGGCCTGGACGCCAGCGATGGGGATGCTGATCCGCTTTACAAGTGAGCTTAGCTTTCTGATTTCTGTCGTTTGTTAGCTAAGTTTTGCAAGAACTCAAATGTTAATGCTAAATTTTGCTTGTGTGTACTTGATATGGTCTGCTTGTTACCGGATGGATTCACTAAAGAGTATTGGGTTTGGCATTTCACAGTGTGCTTAGAGTATTTCGGATAACCCTATCTGCAAAATCTGTATTATGTGGTTAGTTTTAGTTATTTCTCTAATTTCCAATTTGCACTTTTTTTTATAATTACATATGAAATTCCTGGAACTTATACTGCCTGCATAGGTACAGGTCCTGTATACTTTGTTATATGTTGAGGATGTAGTGTGAGTACAGTGATACTTTGAAAAATTTGAAGATGGTTGTATTGATTGAGAAACGCAAAACTAATAACGATTGAGATTTGAGAATTGCTTCCTCAAGGAGATATCTTACTTTTGTTAGAATATATGAAGTTATAACTTACAAGGAGCTCTTGCTGGCAGGATCTTTACCGTGTACCAACTGATGCTCCTATCATATGTTTTTTGATTGATCTTATCAGTTGCAAATAAGTTATTTGCTGGCATGTCAATCATGGTTTGATGGAACTTATATGACATATATTTTGGATTGTTGATAGCAAGAGCAACTGGCCTTTGTGTTCCATATTGTTCGAAGTATTACTCATGTCAAGATATATTAATAATTTTAGCTGCTCCAACATCCACTCCTAATAAGCACACTTGTTCCTTTATTTTCTGGAGATATTGGGTCTATAAATCATGATTATCATAGGTGCAGTGAATATCTTCTTTCCACTGAGTCATCTATAAAGAACCTACTTGAATCAGTTGTAAATGCAATAGTAAGAGCTGTATTCTCTCCTCATACTTGATGCATCCATAGGTTTACAACTGCTCTTCCTGTGAACTTGTTTATTCATCTTGGCTTCATCTTTCCTTCATTAAAGAAAATATCTAGGTTTATGTTCCAACGTCTTAATAGATTTCTTTTGTAATGTTGATGCAAGCCTTCAAGGGTACCTGTACATATTCACATTACTCTTGTATTTCATGAACTGGTCTACCATTTCCTGAAATTTGAAGCAAAAATATGCAGAGTCGATTGGAGTAAATTTTATGTTTAGAGAATATAAGTCCTTGATAACTTGATCTGGCCATTCGGGGTAAGATTTTATATCTAGCACTTGAAGTGATTTTTAGGAGAAATTCCCTATCTGGGTCATCTTTCCCTGGAATTAGCTGATAAAAATAGCATTAACAAATGGGGAGATATTATGCATAAATTGAGACACTAGTTCACTTGACTGAAGTATTAGGTATCTACCAACTTGCAAACAGTGGTTTGTAGGGAATAAGTGCAGCAATTAGATTAAATACAATATCATGCCCATATGAAATTGACTTTAAAGGCATGCTTTGGTGAGCTATTGGCTTACTAATTCTTGAGGGATTGTTACTGTCTGACCAATCCTGGAATGACCAGTATGCTGAAACTATGTAACTTGAAATCCATAGTTGTCATCATGAATAACATTATGACCGTTGTCTCACCTAATAGTCTATCATATCATCATTTTTTTAATTATTATTATTTCTGTCAATCATTAGGAGATGTGTGGAACAGTGCGAGAAAACTGGATGTGTAGGGACTAGATGCTTTCAACATTGTAAATTTTCATCAGATGGGAAGCCCATTGATGGTCCATGGTATATGCATGAACCCCTTTACCTGAGGTGGAAACAGTGGGATTGTCGCACTGACTGTCGCCACTACTGCATGTTATCTAGAGAGGAAGAAAGAACAAAACTTGGTGACAAGCCTGTCAAGTATCATGGAAAATGGCCATTTCAGCGTGTTTATGGGATTCAGGTTCTTACATAATTCTGAAAAAGCAATACTCTAGTTTTTTCTTTGGGGTGAGATAATTTAGTGTGATATAATGTAGTTGGCTTTGATATCTCATTCTCAAAAAGAAATACTCTAGGCTTTTCTTTGGTGAGTCACATGTGGTTATCTTATCTTTGGTTTTAGGAACCTGTGGCTGTTGCACTGTCTGCCCTTAATCTTGCTGTGCAATTCCATGGTTGGGTATCCTTTTTCATTCTTGTGTACTACAAGTTGCCTTTGAGACCAAGTAAGAAGACTTACTATGAGTTCACCGGCTTGTGGCACATCTATGGGATACTATCAATGAATTCATGGTTTTGGAGTGCGGTATTTCATAGTAGGTAAGCTGTTCTCTCCTTGTTTACCTTAGAGATCTAGGCTGTACTCTGTCATGATTTATTGTCGAAGAACTACTCCTTGAATCACAGCTGTTATTCTCTTCCTGTTTACTTAACACTGCAATTTTACACAGTAGTAATCATAAGACTCGTCAAGAAAGTGGAGGTTTTGCTACATTGTACCATCATTTCTTTCTTTTTTGGTTTCCATATGAAGCACATAAAATGTATCTTTTGTTGGGATCAATTAATCAACAGCTAGGCTCTAGCTGGCAGCATTCGTTCCCATAATAGTAATAGTAATTATAAAAAAGGAAGAAGCTTCTGTATCAATGTAGATGATACACATTATGGTCAAAATTCAGCTGTACTGTGGCGGTTGTTGACTCACTATATACATGAAACTGCTGCTTATTTGGAAAACAGGAAAAAAAAAAAAATGACAATCTGGCCTTTCAAGTAATTGTTAACTTCACCCCAAAAGAAATGTTAAACAGAGAAATGTTAATTTAAGCTGCAGGAAATTGTTGTTATTGAATAGTGGATAGTTATTTGGAAATTAAAAACTACCAAAACATTGCTTTTGTTTTCTGAATTAATGGCACTCTAGCCTCTGGAGAAATTTGGAACTTTGGTCTCTTTGGCATACAAAAGCCTTCGCCTAAAATTTAGTTATGACATTTCAAAGTGATTACTTTATCTATCTGTTTTTAAATAATAACAAAAAATGGAATGAAAAGTGGATTGACATGTGTGGACGCATCTATATTCTTGTCAAGACACTCATTAATTTTTAGTAGAGAGGTTTTAGGGTTACATTTGCAAATTTGTTATCTAATGGGGAATTTTAATCTGCTATTTGTAGAGATGTGGAATTAACAGAAAAGCTGGATTGTTCTTCTGCTGTGGCTTTGCTGGGATTTACCCTCATTCTGGCAATAATCCGAGCTTTTAATTTGATAGATGAGGCGTCAAGAGTCATGGTTGCTGCTCCCCTGATTGCTTTTCTGACAACTCATATCCTGTTTCTAAATTTCTACCAACTTAATTATGGTAATATTCTATTTTCAAATGAGATACCTGTTAAATGATGCATCTGATAACTCTACTATTAACGATACTGAAAATGACTGAAGATGCACTTCACCACAACATAAGAGATATGTTCATTTTTTCTTTTAGAGACACTTATTTTGACCTTGGTGCTGCAATCATTGTCTCCATAGTTAATATCTCCTTATTTTTGAAGTGATGACTTTTTCCCTTAGATTAACTTCTAGAACTTGCGGTCAATATAAAATTATTTGTACAGGACCTGTTCCAATATAGTTATCAATCTTTTGGTGTTGGAGCGCTCTTGTGGGGATGTGCTGACCATTAATAGTTTTGCAGGTTGGAATATGAAAGTGTGCCTTGTGATGGCTGTTTCCCAGCTTTTAATTTGGGCAATTTGGGCTGGTATTTGCCGTCATCCGGCTCGGTTGAAGTTATGGGTGGTGGTGGTGGGAGGAGGGCTGGCTATGCTTTTGGAGATATATGACTTCCCACCTTACATGGGATATGTGGATGCTCATACTCTTTGGCATGCAACCACAATTCCTCTTTCATACCTATGGTGGAGCTTTATCAGGGATGATGCTGAGTTTACTACCACATCTCTTCTCAAGAAGGTGAAATAGTACTTGACTCAGTGGACATAGTACTTCAGGGAGTGGATTAGACATGACATGGTTTCTTTTGTTTGTGAATTAGTACTCTCTTTTTCCTCGTGTATGCATTTGATTCCAATGCTTTCCACGATGGTTCCCTTATTGGGTTTGTTTGGTTTCACCTCCCTCATGTGAGGGATCCTTTTCCTTTTCTCCCTGGAATCTACATTTGCTTTGCCTAGTTCTTTGTTTTAAAAAGTCCCTTCCTTCTTGACAACCACTATCAGCCCCATATATTCTCAAAGAAATGAAGGAATAACAAAAATGGGTTTGAACTAATGGCTGAGTGAAATGAAGGAATAGTGTGACTAGCAAACTTTGAGACTTTCCATGAAAATGAAAATGATACACATTTTCATATGCCTTACACTAAGTTTGAGTTGAACTGTGATGGTCACGGCTTGTTAATAGTGTCGCTTATTATAAATTTCATATATGATACTGATTGATGCTTTTTTGCTGCATTTTCTTTGAGCAAGCTGGTCAGTGTGTGTGTTTTAAGGAATCTGTAAAGGAATCAAATATGTCTTCACTCTAACTAAGAAACCCAGTCAATGGACAGTGTAATATATTGTCCATGTTGTGTGTGTGTGTGTGTGTGTGTTTTTTTTTTTTTTTTAATTAGTCTGTAAGGGAATCAAATATATTTGCGCTCTAAATTTAAGAGATTGACTTGACTAGAATTTATTTGCATTTATGCACACAGTTGGACATGATATACTCATTTCCATCGACGGGACAATATTTTGAAATTAAAATACTCTATTTGTACCTCGCTTTGATTCATTTGGCATTGAGGCAGGGCTTAGCAGGTTATAAATTATTTCTTTTTCAGTTAAACAGTACGAGGGCCACATAATTATACGATCTTGACATGCCCAACCCAGTCAATGAACACTGTATTATATTGTCAATGTAGGCTGATTGAGTATGCAAGGTCCAAACCTATATCTTTAAAGGCTTGAGTTTGTGAGTTTGGATCGGTCATAAACTCTAAGACTATTAATGAGTAGTCTGTAAACGTCTTTGGAATTGGTTGATTTATGAAAAGACTTTTCCAAACTTGCCAAAAATTTTCCCTAACTTGCTATCTGGGGTGGAACCAGCTTTAAAAATCCGGCCAAATTTTTTGAAAAAATAAATTTAGATTTAATTTTTAAAATTAATTTTATTAGTTAAAATATATTATTCTATTAATTATTAGAGTATAATTGCATAAGTATTTCAAGAAAATTGAAAAAAAAAAACACAAGATACCATGTATCTAAATAACTAAATATAATATATATTTTTTATTAAAATATATTCTCTTCAGTTTTATTTATAAATCATTCTCAACATTTTCACTAAAACCAAGAAAAAATTTAAACATCATAAACTTTATCTAAAAATTCAATGAATTTTTAACTTTATTCTTATTAGATATGTATATTTTAAAAATAAAATATTTTAGTATTTATATCATTTCCAACATTTAATATAAAAAAATGATAAAAATAAATATAATATTCGTTAAGGTATTTTATAAATAAAATTAGAATAAATATTCTCCTCTTATAATGTTTGAGTGGCTGGGGTTGGGGGGGGACCCCACAAAGACCATTGTAGGTCCGCCGCTGCTTACTATAATAATTAGTTTGGGTCATTATCAACATGCCTGAATCACTATCTAGAGTAGCATGTTTGAGCAAATTGAATCCATTCACTTTTTAAAGCCACAAAGCCTTTATCACATTAGATAAAGAATGTCCAAAGTAATCTAAATACTCAGTATATGAGACCGATATTACCAACATCGGCCTCCCAAATATTTTGAAAATGTCTTTATTATTTTTATTTAATGTGACTGTATATTTTAAAATTTAAACTTGAGACATAACAACAACAACAACAACAACAAGCCTTTATCCCACTAGGTGGGGTCGGCTACATGGATTGCAAGACGCCATTGTGCTCTATCATTTATTAAGCTTTTAGAAATATTATTAATTAAGAGATCACGTTCAACAACTTCCAAGAGTGTTCTCTTAGGCCTTCCTCTACCTCTCTTAATCGGACTCAAAGTTATATGTTCCACTCTTCTCACTGGTGCCTCCCTTGGTCTTCTTTATACATGCCCAAACCATCTCAACCGATTTTCTACCATTTTTTCCTCAATAGGTGCCACCCTCACTTTTTCACGTATGTGCTCATTTCGAATTTTATCTTTACGTGTATGTCCGCACATCCATCGTAACATTCTCATCTCTGCTACTCCAACTTTATGCTCTTGCTGTCCCGTTAGAGCCCAGCATTCACTACTATATAACATTGCCGGTCTGATAGCAGTACGATAAAACTTTCCTTTAAGTTTATTAGGCACCTTACGGTCACAAATAACTCCTTTAGCTTTTCTCCAATTAAACCACCTAGCTTGAATTCTATGTGAAATATCTCCACTGATTTCGCCATCATTTTGAATAATGGCTCCCAAATATCTAAACTTTTCCACTTGAGGTATAATTTGATCTCCCAATTTCACTTCCAAATTATTTTCGAATAGTCCTTTACCAAATTTACAATATAAATATTCCGTCTTACTTCTACTCAAACGAAAACCTTTCGACTCCAATGTCCTCCTCCATAACTCAAGTTTGTAATTAACCTCTTCTCTTGTCTCTGCTATAAGAACTATATCATCCGCGAAGAGCATACATTTCGGAATTTCCTCTTGAATATGTTCCGTCAAAACATTTAAAATCAAGTTGAACAAATAAGGACTCAGAGATGATCCCTGATGTAGTCCAATCTTTATAGGAAAATCCTTTGTTTGACCACTAGGCGTTCTTATACTAGTTTTTACCCCCTCATACATATCTTGTATGGCTTTAATATAAGCAATCCGTACTCCCTTTTTTTCCAACGCTTTACAAAGCACTTCTCTTGGTATACGGTCATAAGCTTTTTCCAAATCAATAAAAACCATGTGTAGATCTTTATCTTTACAACGATACTTTTCCATTAATCCCCTTAGTAGATAAATCGCCTCTGTAGTTGATCTACCTGGCATAAAACTAAATTGATTCTCAGAAATACTTGTCTCCAATCTCAACCTGTGCTCAATTACTTTCTCCCACAATTTCATTGTGTGGCTCATGAGTTTAATCCCTCTATAATTAGTACAATTCTGAATATCTCCTTTATTTTTATAAATAGGAATTAATGTACTTCTCCTCCACTCATCAGGCATTTTCTTGGACCGTAAAATCACATTAAATAACTTAGTTAACCATCTCACCCCTTCTTCACCTAAACATTTCCATGCTTCGATAGATATACAATCAGGTCCGTTAGCTCTACCATTTGTCATTTTCTTAAGAGCTTCCTTTACCTCCTTATCACGTATTTTTCGATAGAATGACAAATTTTGTTCTCCTTCACCAGTTACTAAATCCTCCAAGTTACTAGATGAATCCTCTCCATCATTAAAAAGTTTAGAAAAATAAGTCTCCCATCTATTTTTAATTTCATCATCTGTAACTAAAATTCTTCCCTCTTCATTCTTAATACACCTTACATGTTCTAGATCTCTTGATTTTCTTTCCCTACTCTTGGCAATCTTATAAATATTTTGCTCTCCTTCCTTCGTCTCAAGGTTCTTATAAAATTCTTCAAAAGCTTTAGAACGAGCTTCACCCACAGTTCTCTTAGTTTCCTTCTTAGCCATACGATACCTCTCCCAATTTTCCTCATTGTTACACAAATGTATGGCTTTAAAACAGTTCTTCTTATACTTGATTTTGTCCTGTACACTATTATTCCACTACCAAGACTCCTTATCTCTCGGACCAGAACCTTTCGATTCTCCCAAAACTACTTTTGCAACCTCCCGTATCTTTTTAGCCATATCCTCCCATATGATGTTAGCACTTCCCTGAGAATCCCAAATTCCTTTATCCAAAAGATTTCGTTTGAAAATATCTTGCTTCTCACCTTTTAATTGCTACCACTTAATCCTTGGTGTTACTACTTGTCAACGTTTTTGAATTTTACTCATAATACACACATCAAGGACTAAGACCCTATATTGTGTCGTTACAGCATCTCCGGGGATCAAATTGATTTAAACTCTTTCGACTAGTTGAACCAAGTGATCTTTTATAAGACAAGTAAATAATTTTGAATAGTTAAAGTTTAACTTATACAATGTATAACTGTGATAAATAAATAAATAAATAAATAATTTTAATAATAGCATACAATTGTGAATTGTGTAAATCAACTTTTAACAGTTTAAATTTATGTATTTTTAGATGATAATTATTTTATAAACAATTAAATTTGTTGATAAAAAACAATTAAACTTGAACCATTCATTTTATTATTGAAGGGTGGAGATGAGATGATGAGGGAAAAAAGAAAAAGGAGAAAGGGGATTATGAGAAAATCCAAACCTGAAAAATTGAGATATTAGTTTAAGCTTGTCTCTATTTGCATGCATGTGGTGTAAGTGCAACATCATATTTAAAACAAATGTTTAGGCAAAATTAGAAACATTAAACCTTGCAATAATGAAATGATGGAAAAACTAATCTGGGCTCTATTAGTTCGTCTAGTTTTCATCAATTTTAAATTAGATTTTTACAATTTCTTTTATTTTAATCAATACTTTATAGTTCACTTGATTAAATATATTAGCCAATAAAAGTTAAAATTATTAATGAATGATTACTTTTTTCAAAAAAAAAAAATTTAAAATTTACAGCCAAATTGATTTAATACTTTTAGCCAAAAAAAAAAGAAAAGAAAATTTGATTTAATACAATATTTACATTTTTATTAATTTTCTATGAAAATTCTATATCTATAAAAGTTATTTAGAAAATATAGCCTAATTATATAAATTTTTTGAATTGTAAAAATTATGTAAATAATTCTAAAGTTATATAATCATTTAATAAAAATATAAGAGTGTTTAATTTTATTTTTTTTAAAGAAAAAATTTCAGGTTTTTAACCCTTAAGGATTTAATCGATCAAGTTATAAGAACTTGATTAAAATAAAATAACCTATAGAGATTTAATTTAAAAATGAGATTAAAGGACTTGCAGATTACTTTTCCCTAAAATCATTGTAAAATAGTAAAAAAATTGAGCCGTTTTGTAAACATATTAAACATTAGTCCTTAAATTTAGAGACTAAATTTAAGGACTAATGTTTTAAATTTATAATAGTATAGAGATTAAGTTGAATTAAATTAAATTTTTGGGAATGAGTCCTAAATTTAAGGACTAATGTTTTAAATTTATAATAGTATAGAGATTAAGTTGAATTAAATTAAATTTTAGGGAATGAGTTTCAACCAAGTATTTTCAATAGGA